CGGTGCACGTGCGACGCGAGGGCCCGCAGCGCGTGGCCGTGACGTGGCAGCGCCCGCCGCACGGTGCCGCCTCCCTGCTGTGGTTCATCCTCGAGTGCCTCTCAGCGGCTCCGCACAGCCCCGAGCAGAGATTCTTCTGGAAGAAGGTCCCAAAGGAGGACACGCGTGCCTACCTCCAGGGTAGGACCTTCCTTGCGCCCGGCACGAGGGGTAGGGCCTCATTTTCCAAGCCCATGGAGAGCTGGAGAGCTCTCCGACCCCACCACAGCTTCCCCTGGGCTTCCCTCTCCTTGCTCCTGTGCCCGGGAGCACTTGTAGCGCAAAGGGCAGTCTGCCAATCCGTGCTAGGAGCAAATGCTGCTGCTTTCCAGAGGAGGCAGCCGCGGGAAGCCGGATCACGGTGTCGGTGTACGCGGTCTACCCAGACGGCGTCAGCAAGCCGGGCTCCGGCCAAGGTGAGTACGGGCCGTGCAGAAGCTGCTTCGTTCTGGATGCGCCCATGGTTTGGTAGTTTGGGGGAGTTATTTAGTTTTTTTGGGGGAAAAAAAGGTAAAAACTCACCATTTTCTCCTGCCTGCCATGGGTCACAGAGGAAAGCAGGGCTCTGGAGGGAAACCTGTTGAGCGCAGGACATGTCAGCACCGGTTTTATCAGAACATCTGCATGAAAGCCTTCCCCGCTTGATATGTTTTGCGGCTCCTGCATGCACATCTCTGATGAACATAGATGCACTCTACAAGATACGTCAACAGAGCTATCAATCTCCCCTTCTGTGATGAAAAGAAGATCAGGTTGCTTCATCTTTGTCACATCTGGCAATAATACAGGAAAACCAGACATAGTTTTTGCAGAGCACAGGAAAAGCGTATCTTTTCCTTTCTTATCTAGAGCAGGAACTAGGCAGGGTTCGCTTCTGGATGTTATTTTAGATAGCATGTTGCATTGGCCAGTTTGAAAAGGAAAATAAGGACCATGCATCACCTCCAGCATCTACCGCGGTGGCCGGGAAGGCACGTCCTGCGCTGCAGGGCACTGGACGTACTGAGGTTATTGAGCCGCTTATTTTCTCTAGCGGTGTCCCCCAGGGGTCCGTCCTTGGTCCAGTCCTGTTCAATTTATTCCTCAATGACCTGGATGAAGGCACAGAGTGCTCCCTCAGCAAGTTTGCTGATGATACCAAACTGGGAGGAGTAGCTGATACCCCAGGGGGCTGCGCTGCCATCCAGAGGGACCTGGACAGACTGGACAACTGGGCGGTGAAAAACCTCATGAAATTCAACAAGGCCAAGTGCAAGGTCCTGCACCTGGGGAGGAATAACCGCAGACACCAGTACAGGCTGGGGACCAACCTTGTGGAGAGCAGCTCTGCAGAGAGGGACCTGGGTGTCATGGTGGACGACAAGTTGACCAAGAGGGATGTGGAGCTGCTGGAGAGAGTCCAGCGCAGGGCCACAGGGATGATCAGGGGCCTGGAACATCTGCCCTATGAGGAGAGGCTGAGGGAGCTGGGCCTGTTCAGCTGGAGAAGAGAAGGCTGAGAGGGGACCTGAGCAGTGTCTAGAAGTACCTCAAGGGAGGCAGTGAGGAGGATGGTGCTGGCCTCTTTTCACTGGTGGCCACCAACAGAACTAGAAGTAATGGCCACAATCTCTTCTCTGGAGATCTTCAAACCCGCTTGGACGCAGTCCTGTGCCACGTGCTCTAGGTGACCCTGCGTGTGCAAGGGATTGCACTAGATGACCTCTAGAGGTCCCTTCCGACCTTGAGCATTCTGTGATTCTATGATTCTATGAAAGGATGACTTGAGAACAGCGGGAGGGAGCAACGAAGGCTCTGCTGCTTCCTTGCAAAGCTGGTGCCAAGTGGCACAACAACCGTGCTCGCTTTCACTCGCTTCCTAGGTGAGTTCCCATGTTTCGCCAAGCTCGGTGCTTTGCAAGCTGCTCTTACACTCCTGAAAGCCCCGTGAATCCAGAAGTTTTTCACTTGTTTTCATCTGAAGCCGCCTAAACCCACAGATTATTATGTCTGTCGCAGAGATTGCTGCGATCTGAAATCGGGCAGCCTGAGTTGCAGAGGACGTCGTGCTGCACCGCCTTGGCTGGCTCAGCAGCTTTAATCTCTGTGTTTGTAGACTGACTGCTGTTATAAATGTTCTCTGCTTGCAAATATGCAGTCACCTGCTGCCAGAGCAAGCAATACCATGGGACCTCGCTATCCTCTTGCATCCCGTGGGGCAAAAGTGATGCTTTTATCCCGCTTCCGACCACCAAGAGAACAGCTCCATCCCCAGGGAGGGATCCAGCGGGCGAGACAGGCAGACACACAGGCCGACTGTCTGCCACAGCCGCTTTTGGTTGGCGGCGGTGCGTGTCCCGCGGATGTGGCGGCTGAGCCACACGATGGCACCATTCTGCGAGCTCCGCGCTCCTGGTCCCCAGCCCGCGGGCACCGGCGCTACGCGAGCACCCAAGGGTTACGGGAAGCCATGGCATTTCCTCAGTCCAACTGAAGGATGCAGAGGCGCTTTTGGGCACGGCCTTGTGGTGTTTCATGAAGTATTTCAATCCTTATGCTGCGAAAGCTGCCCTTTAAACTCCTTCCTTCCCAAATATTAGCAATTTGCCAGCGTGCTGCTGCCGTAAGCTCTGTTTGCAAGGATGACTCTACTAAAGTCTTTGCTATCTTCGGGTTCCGTGCAAAACCTGATCCTCCTGAAAGACCATCCCTGACCATCCCATCTTTTCCATAAGAGCGAGGTCATTGCTCCCTGTAACCAACAGCGTGCTGCTTATTCTAGCAAAAACAGGCTTCTAGCCATGGTGGCCACTTGAGCTACATGTACTCCCTCTTAGCTCAGCCAGTCAGATAAAATGACATTGCTAGAAAATTCCATTCTGGGGGGCTTGGACACTTTGGGAGATAACCCATAGGTGCTCTTGAAAAATGACCCATGTCAAGAAAAAAAGTTCTTGTTCTGGGTACTTTAGGGAGGGAAAAAATGTGGAAGATTTTTCATCATTTATGTCATGGTTTCATCAATATTTGGTTCAATGATATCACTGAGAATAGGAGGTGATGTGGCATCTAGCTAGTATCTGGAGTTATTAATTACTTCAGAGGGTTTTATGTTTTTTTCATTATATCGTTATTTCTAAGTAATTTTGACAAAATAAAGCAATAGCTTCTGTTCTCTGAATTAAGTTACAGGCATTTTTTCCCCTCTCTCTGCTCAAGTCCTCCCAGAGGAGCCGTTCCTGAACAGAAGCTACAGCCCGATTTCTTACGGTAAGAAGCCAATATTTCACACTGGGTAAGCGAGGGTTGCACCTGCAGCATCAGGTGGTGTAATTACTGGGAATAATCCTTTGGAGAGATCGAAGCCAGAAAGGTGACGTTTCACTGGGACATGAGCCAAGGGGCAAGAAAGGCTGCAGTGCTCTCGTGGTTGATGGAACCCGCATAATTTATATCTTCAAGTTTTGATCTCTTAAGAGACATATTTGCAACAAGTAGGAGATAAGAAACTAAGGAGAATGTAAGATAGTGTTTTATCCTCACAGAGGTAGCTGTGTTGGCTACGTTTTCTTGACTTTGCAGTCTGAGCCGGAGACTCTTTTAGATGTTCCCATATAGGACTTGGCGCCTGCCGCCACCACGAGGGCTTGGAGCACGAGCGACACATGGGGCAGCAGTTTTGCTTTTGCTTTTGTTACTGCTTCGTTCTGTTAGTGAGTGGCCAAGCTGAGCGCTCACGGCTCCTTCTGCAAAGATCTCGACCGTGCAGACCGCGACGGGCCCGTGCGCTGGGGGGCTCAGGGCTGCGCTACCCCCGCAGGGCCAAGCAGGGCTGGCTCCGCTCTCTGCGCCCTTCAACTTGAGATAACCCTTGTTTGCTCCTCGGGGAACTTGATGTACAAGTGCATGTGTGCAACAGCACCCGCTGATGTGCAAGGAGGCTCCTGGAGCTCCGCATGAACGTTCATGAGCGTAAAATTGCTTGCATTTGCGACTACGGATCTGGCCTATTAAAAATGCTGTCCTTAAAATGAAAGATCGTAAATAACCTTTCCCTTTTTATCTTTTTTCAGATTATGACATTGGAGTTTTTCTGGGACTGGGTGTCAGTGTGTTCGTATTATCAGTTGTTTTTGTGATTCTGATGTTTAAAAAGTCAGCAAGAAAAAGGTATTGCTTTCTTCATATTTTTCTTTCCTATTTCCAAAAAAACAACTTTCTTTAGAATCTCCTAAAATTATGTAGAGAAACCTGTGCTTTTCCATACAACCTGCTCATATTGATGGCAACCTAACCTAGTAATCACATTGCTGGATCATATGGTATCTTCTGTACGATCTGAAGATGAAAATGTGACCATCATTCCCCTGCAAAGGCCAGACTTAAGGACATGTGATAAATTCTTTTATGGATATTGGGGTGTAAAAAGGAAGGAGAGGTCAAACTTAACCATCTTAGACAATTTTCATACTAGACTTTAAGCTCCCCTGGGACTTACCTGCCTGCTGCACTGCCACTGGAGGCCTTGGGCCTTGCAGGGTAAGGGTTTATGCAAGATGAATGACTCTTCCTTTTATTTTTACTTTCCATTTAACTGGAATATTGATTCAATCATTGCTGTGGCTGATGTGAGTCCATAGGGAATGACTACCTCCATGACATGGGGTTGTCTGTTGGATGTTCCGGATAAAAGAAGAAATAGGGTGGAGAAGCCTCGGAGCTAGAGGCTGTTGAGGCACCTCACCCTCAGTGAAGGATGTCTCTCGCTTCCGGACGCGAATCATTTTTCTGCTGGTGATGTAATTGTGAAACATGAGCATTTTAGCACGAACAGAGAGTATGTAGTTTCTCAGAAACACAGCAATATGCCATCGCATCAGCAGAGCTTAGCTAAATTGAACTTTCTTGGAAAAAAAAAATCATTTCTGCAGCAGCTTTGACCATAGAAAAAAATCAGTCTCTAGTAATGTGATTTTGACCTCATCAGTTCAGGCAATAGATGTATCTTCTTATTTATATAATTGGTTAATTCCCCCCAGGTTAGCAAGACTTTCCAAAAAAATGTATGTTTAGTATAAATACATTATTCAGAGTAGTTAGCTCCCAGACTTGCCTAATAAATGAAATTCTCGGGTTTTGTTGGTAATGCAGAGGCAAATGTGATATTAGGGGGAACACTCTGCATTGAGCAAAGCTGGCCTCTTGGCCAGGGGCAGCCAGGCTTGGCTCACACCATGGATCTAACTAACTCAGAGGAATAAGAGAGGCGGGTGAAGAGCTAGAGTTTGTCCTTCGGGTTTAGCCCAGCTGGCTGAAACGTGGCAATGAGAACCTTGTTGCATTAACAGTAGCTCACACGCGAGGAGCAGCCGGGGAGTTCGGCTTGTTGGCGCTGCTCCACCAGCACCAGGCATCTCCTGGGCACGGTGACAGCGCGGATGGGACAACCTGCCCAAGCAGGGGTAAAACCCAGTCCCCAGGCCTCTGCAAAGGTCTTGGGCAGCCCGTGAACTCTGTGCTGCCTCCTTGTCCCTTATTTGCTTGCTCTGGATGAAACAGTCCCCAGGCTAATAGCAATGGACTAACAGTGTGGGTTCTTTCTTTCTTTTGGGTGATGAATTACCAGAATAACTGTGTCGCTAATGCCGAAGTGGCTGCTTGAAGATTTTCCCCATGTGGAAAACAGCAATGTGATAAAGTCACTCCAGGTAATTGCAACATTGCGTCCCAGCTTGTTTTCACTTGTCTTTATGTAGATTTTAAAACAAGAAGCAGGATGCCAGGAGCTGCAACAAACCTGCTCAGCTCTAAGTAGGAAAATTCTCCCTGCGCTCGAGGAGTTTCTGGCAGGGACAGGCAGCATCAGGCGGTGGGTCTGGAACAAGCCCAAGGTGGGAGCCTGGGGACTGGCTGGGCAACTGGTTTCTGGGCATTTACAAGGCTCATCCCATGAAGGAGCCCAATGTAGGGGCAATCTCTAGGCCTTCCCCAAAGCAGAAATCCTGCCGTGCGCCCAGTTGCCCCTGAACTGCGAGCAGGCGAGGGGAGGAAGGCGTGATGGCTCCCGGGCACTGCTCGCCTCTGCCTCACTGCAGTCACGTTTGCAGAAGGGGACACGATGCGGGAGAAGGAAAGGACTGAGGCAGAGCCAGTGAGGACTGTCACCATCGTGTTTCCCCCTCGTGATGCTCTAACACTATCTCTCCCACTTGCAAAATCTGCCAACTCATTTTCACAATTGTTATGTTTTTTTTTTTTCCTAGGAAAAAAGTGGATTCACACCTAGCGTCTTCAGTGGACCCCCCCTGGATAACAGTGATCCCACAATCATGGAAATAGAGGAGCTGCCTGTGCGTGAGGAATACAAGCTCGTGGATGTCAGAAGGGGCCCCAGCGCAGCGGTCCCCGAGAGCACGGCGTATGTGCAGAGCCCCGCGCCGGCCACCGAGCTCGTCAGCGACTACCGGCCTCAGCTCTCCGACGGGAACCTGCTGGGCTACGTGGCTGCCAACATCTACCAAAGCCAGCCCCACGCGCTGCCTCCAGAAGCAGAGACAAATGTTTTCTTCAGGGATTACCCGAGTCCCGTTACTTATTTGTGGAACGCCGAAGGAATGGAGCAGCAGACGTTCCTGCTGGAAAAGATTAATCTCATTTTAAACAACAATAGGAGTGGGCAAAACCATGCGTTTGATTTAGCGCGGGAGGAACAAAATACCCTTTTGGGAAACCAGTGGGGAAAACCACTGTCTAGTGAAGACGCTCAAGAACAGACCCTGGTCCCAGATGAGTTGGTCTCTTGCTTGAGAACAATGAATGAAGAATGTGCGGATATACAGATCTGTTTTCCACAAAGCACTGGAGGATTATTTTAAGAAAACTTGAAATTGTGACTTAAAATGTTATTTTATGACCATGGCACACACCAGCCTTTGAGATTTCCAGCATCAGAACTGGAACCGACCTCAGAATCGGAAGCTGGCTTCAAATTGACTCCAAATAATTTTGGATGAGAGGCCAATAAATCATTAATGATTTGTAATTTTAAACTTAGTTCATATTCTCACAGTGTAAGCAGGTAAATTTGGATTCCTGTGAGAACTGAGATACACAGCAGGTGATTCTTGCAACATATATTATGCATCAATCTAAATAATTATCTTGTTAAATATTTGCAACATTTCATGCTTGGGGCTGATTTCGTTTAGAGATGGATAAAATGATTCCTTAGATATTTTGACTGATGTGTGTAAAATGTCTTGGGATCCCCAACACTGCACTGAAGATGATTTAGACATCCTACAGCAGATGTGAATGCCAAGAACATGGAAAGATTTTTTTTTTTTGTAGGACAGAATAACCTTCTTCATCTTGGCCTACCTTGTTGACTTAAGTTATCTGTTTAAATTTGCCACAGGACAGATTCTTCACTTGAGGTTGAAGATTTATCATCTTCTCACCCCCACGTCATATCAGGCTGTCGGTGTTTTGTCTCGGCCAGTCTGCGTGAGGGGGATGTGGCACAGAGGAGCGCTCATTCCATTGGGATTCCACAGAACGAGGCAGGGGAGTCTCCTTGCTGCTGAGCGCTCTTGGAATCTTGTCCTTTGAAGGCCTGCCCAGGTCATTACAGGTGGTCTCGTCTGATGCTCCTGGAGCAACCAGAAACTCGGTGGAAACCTGAAAAGTTCGATTATGTCTCTAGTACTTACTTTGCTTAACAAACCCAACTTTTTTTTTTTAAGGAAACAACCTAAAATACTTTTAAGAAATATAAGCACGGAAGAGGTTTACTATGCGCTGTAAAATGACTGAGCATCCTCTTGAGGAATGTTCTCCGCAGTGCTTGCCCTTCCAGCCCTCCCTTCACATGCTGCAGGTTAGAGCAGAACGTGGCTCTTGTTGTTCTGGAGTCGTGGAAGGACGAGGTGAGGGGACACAAATGTGGTCCCACTACTACCCCGAGCTCCTGGCCTCCCTTTTGGGGCTGATGAGCCTCTTCCCTGTGGCTCAGCACCGGACCCCGGGGCACTGCAGTGACACCCTGAATAAAGCACATGCTTGATCCACCTGAAGTGGAAATTTGGTGGTGGTGGGGAGGGTGCTCTGCAGCACCCCATGGAAATTCTGCATGGAGAAACTACGGCTAGAGGAGCACCTTGGTGACCCAGCTGCAGTGCGTTACCTCCTCGGCCTCCCGCGACGTCGGGACGGGGCGCATGAGCCTGCCCGGAGCTGCCCCGGCAGCTCCTATGGGCTAGGGCCTGAGTCTGCATTTACAGCACCAAGGAACCTCTCATCTACGTAGCCCTGTGTGTGACTTGTGCTTCGCAAAGAGCTGGCGAGTTTTATAGAGCGCTGGGCAACTGAGCAGGCTAGGCAGGTTGTAGGGAACCTATTCCATAACAGTGACATTAATCATCACTGCATGAAAAGGAAATACATCACCATCACAGATTTTGAATACGTTACCAGTTCAAAATCTGTGCAATAGTAGGAGCAAGACTCAACAATTTTTTGCAAGACTTAAAAACCACAAAACTAATGAAAGTGAGCTGTCTGTATTTGGCTATCTAGTATTAACCATCTTATTATTACTACTACCTTTTTTTGCAGTAGGATTTATACACCTGGAGATTATAATTTTCATCCAAATTTTGCTAGGCACCCTATGCTTTTTTTCTAACAGCTGTTCAGTAAATTGATCAATTTGGTCATTTTCTCCCAGAAAGAGGTGTGTGCTGTGCTTGTTTCCTTTCCACGATTCAAGAGATGTGCCATCTGTCACCTCGCTTTACAGAGGGGTACGTTACCTGCCTGGATGCAATAGGTTGGTTCTCTATAAGCAGCAAGCAAGTTGTTTCCAAGCCTGCGAGGTTATTCTTAAGTGCAAACTAGTCTAAAATTAGTGATTGCTGCTGTGCAGGAAGGAAATTGTAAAAGAGCAGCCACATACTATCAGCCAAATGTGTGAGGTGAAAGGCACCTCACAGTCCACATCCTGAGACTTGAGCTGCCTCTATTTGCCTGAACTATCAAAACACGTGGGATGTTTATTGCTGCATGGAAATGCTCAATGTTTTGGAAAGACAAGGTGGAGAGCATGACATAACAAGTTCCTGCTGGTTGAAACCTGAATTTCCAGCCAGGTTAAATCAATCTAGGATGGATAACTACAAACGTATTTGCGAACTGGAGGGTAACTTCTTTCCTGCTATGTGACAATAGTGCAGGGCTAAAACTTTTCCCCCCTCTCCCAGGGCATCCTTTCTTCATCAATGGCAAAACTTCCATAGATATCACTGGGGCTGAATGAAATTCACCTTCTTTAGGTGGGTAAAGCAATGCAGTTGGTAAATATGGACTGGTTACCTGGGGAAAGCAGGAGGAGAAGGGCACAAACATGTCACACAGCCCCCTCTCCCTCCCTTCTCACCCACTCCGGCTGTTTTTCTTTCTCCCAGTGGTTTGCAAGAGGTGACAGCTTTGCTCTGGAAGAGATACTTGTGACACTCGTCCTGCCTGGCAATGAAGCGGATGGATAAGTGCGTTGCCAGGCAAATTGACAAAAAAGGAACAGTTTTCAACAACAGGCCGGGCCCACGATGCCATGTTGTGCCCTCAATTTCAGATTTCACTTGCTCTGTGTGCTGTTTTCCTTTGCCTGATTTGACCTTAAAAAGTCTTTGCTCGGGTCTGTGCCTTCTTTCCGTCACAGACCATATTCAGTGACCTAACACAGCATCCTGAGCAATGGGGATTGAACGGGATATACGTAAGTAACCCTTGATTATATGGATAGCCACTGTTTTGTATCAAACCATGATGTCGGTACTTCTATTTTAACATCTTGGACTTCACTCCTTCCCTTGATATTTCCTGCACTCTAATTCTTTGTGTTACCATTTTTAAAGATATGTTTTCTAAATGTGGTTATGTTGTTGGTAGCCACATCTTGTGCCAGTGAGTTTCTTGGCTATTCATCAGTCTGACTATGTTTCACGGGTTCTTCACCTTAATTCTAGCAGGGGCTTTCTGTACAGAAGGAAGGACATGCTAACTAATGCTTCTGCCCACAGACAACACGCACCAAACGCACTCGTCTCTCATGCAACCCTCTGCCCCTGAGCATGAGCCTGCAAATGAAAGGCAGTGAATTCTGTCGATTGTCTTCTGACAAGACATTTTCTCCTCCTGCCTTCTGAGCAATGCAGAGGAATCAGCCACTGCAAAGGAGGACATGGGAGGGCTGTGCCCAGAGCACGGTCTTTTTGGGTGTCCAAGGGAGGTGACCCCACGTCCCTTGGTGTTGGGGTTGCTGTCGCTGCACCAGAGGCAGCCAGGGGCCCACACAGATCCACAGAGCCCAGCCTCAGGAAGAGCTCGGTAACAGGAATATTAGTGCAAGCTCTTCAGCTGGCCGCCTACCTAAATCTAATATAATTACATATCAAAGCACAGTAATTCGTGACCCACAAAGCTGTTTCTCATTCCTGCTCACACATCTAACACAACCTCACTGGAAAGGCTCTTTTTATACAAAGTGCCAAGAGACAACAAATTAAAACCAAGCAGAGCTTGGGAAGTAGTGTTGTGCCTTCAGAGCTTAGGTGGTTCTGAGCACAGCAAAGCCATTTGGTGCTGGCTCTTATCTCCACCCCATCACATCAGCTTAGGGTGTATCAGGCATGGCCTTGTGCCAGTGCAAATCCCAAAATGAGGTGGAAATTACAACCAGTGCAGCACAGATTAGCCAGATACCATCTCTGTGACTTGCTGCTTACTCTTCAGCACACTGGAATAGATTAGCAACAGGTAAATATGCTGCAGTGACTGAAATTGCATTAAAAAACTTAACTGAAGTTTTGCAAAGCTAAATAGCAACACTAGAACTCTGGGGATTTCTGAACGCGAAGATGATAAGATCAAAGCAACCAACATGCACAAGCAAAGCAGCAAACAAATGCTTAGCTCAGCAAAGTCAGCCTGAGAACAAAGCAAGTGAGAAATGACAGAGCAAGTGAAATGGTAGCACAATAAAAGCATGAATATTCATTAAAAATATGCTATTTGGTATGGCCTCTGATTTTGGTTAACCTTTGGGAGAATTAATCCTCTAAGAGGGAAGATGAGCAGTTATTCAAAGGATAGAAGGACTGAGCACAACAGCAGAGACTGAAACTAAACTTGTGTTTCATGGAGGGGAGGTGAGAAGTGAGGCTGTGGTTTTGCGCCTTCACTGGCCTCAGTGAATGTTAACTTCACAGAGCCAATTCCCATGAAAATGCCCCTTGCAGAACAGTGGAAGGGGGATTAAGAAAAAAGTTTGAAGCGAGCACTAAGGGCATTGAGAAGAAAGCAAACTATAAAAACTGGGTTTCAGGACTGCTATTTGCCAAACCAGGCAAGTCTTTCCTTAACAGGAATTAAAATAATAATAATAATAATAATAAAAGAAGAATTAATCTTACTGCAAGAATATATATGTATATATATGTAAAAAAAAAAAAAATCCTTAACTTAAAAGTTGCCAAATGACAGATTGTCTAGAATGACACTGAAAAGTCACAATCCCCAAACGAATTTGGTTTTACTTAGGTCAGTTATGGACTCAAGAGAAGTCAGAGCAACTGTATTTGCACAGCTACGTACTTGGTTTGGTTGTGCTGGGAATAAGAAAAAAAAAAATTAATAGACTCACTGGCATAAACAAGGATGCCAAACTAACATAAC